TGGACGAACTGATTTTCAGCCACCCTAAAAAAAAAGGTCCAAAATATGATTAGGGTGGCTGAAAATCAGTTCGTCCAAGCGCGACTATTTCATTCTTGTCTTTTTTCTTCGAGGATAGGGATTATTTGAAAAGTGAGTCGCTTACGTGGATATGACAGTTCGTGATGACATCCACGGATACGAGGATTGCCATCGGGATTCATCTGTGCTGGCGTTAGAATTTGAATGGCGATATACGCATTTTTTTTTTGTTGGCGGATACGATGAGTTGGATTCTTTTTTGGATGCACAAAACAAAAAAATACGGACTCCATGGTTCGAACATTCGTTGTTGTTGTTCTTTGGCCAGGGTACACTTGTGTTCACGTGCACTCTCCAGGTTCTTTATTTTCCTCGTAAAAGGTTGCACCTGACAGCGTTTACGTTCTTCTGGGCAGGTTAAATATTCAAAAGGACATGGATATTTTTGGCATGTCGTCCGACCGTTTCATCTCTGTCGTTCTTTGGCCACGGACTCCATTTTTTTTCTTCTCTTTTGTTTTTTGAGGATCTCGCTTGCCTCCAGCATATGGTCGTGGTGTGTGATTGCGTGTGCACCAGGGCGAGTTGCAGAATCAACAGGATATATTTTTGCAGTGCTGAACGTCCACAACGAACTCCTGGACTTCGACACACGCTGTTGTCAGCGACAACGATTTGATATTCTTCTATGGATTTTCGGCTCGGATGTTCGTTTTGGCCGGAATTGTGGCCTGATTTGTCGACACCCGTGCCGTCCGTTTACGTGGTGTCTCTGGTTGCTCCTGCCAGGTTTCCAGGACACAAAGTTCAAAAGTGCCGATGAGGACACTATTTTTCTCCGAGATATTGGCTACGACGAATGGGGTGTCTTCTGCAATTCGTTGCCGTTTTCTTATATTGTGCAGCTCAATCTGGCAGAGGAATGCCGAGCATGAAGCTTCTGTGGTTTTCGTTTTTTCTTGCCCAATTTTCAGACATCGACCCTCATCCACAGACATCGACCCTCATCCACAGACATCGACCCTCATCCACACTTGTGCCCACTTGGTGACATACTCCTTGAGCAAGTTTTTGTCATATTTTTCAAGGTCATCTTGTTCCGATATCTGATCAGCGATGCCAGCTCTGTTTTTTCTTGGTACGCGACGCGGATATGGATACAATTTCCTTCTTTGGATATATAGCTGACAGAGAGTTTGCCTCGTGTACTGTAGACGACCCTCCTTCATCACAATGACAGATGCAATAGCTGCCGTGTCTGGTCATTGCGATTACCTGGACATGCGTCAGTCAAATGTATTGGCCTGTGCCATCGTAGGACGATGATTTGGCTGTGTCTTAAAAGCCACCTTTTCTTTTTCATATTGTAGTTGTTCAAGGATACGCTCCTTCTCGGATTTCGCGAATGGATTGCGTCATCCCATCAAGTGTCGATCCAACGTTTTGTACTGATGTGCATTTCTTTTTGTTTGTCGATACTGATCGCATCTTTTGGCTTGATCCCTCAAAATCTCTATCAAACGCGCTCATGCCCTCTACACAGCGGCTTGGTTTGATTCTTGTTTCGTAGATTTCACTTTGAAAATAGCCTCAGTATTTCAACATCCATGGTGTGGGGTGGTCGGCATCGGATCGCTCTTGAGACTTACCGTGCACGTTGTGGCCCAACATGAAGTGCAAGTTAGGTATTCAGGCAAACCTGGACCTCGGATGGTCCTGTGGGGCCTACTATCCAGATGAAGACCCGGATTGATTCCCCTGTTCAGTGCAAAAAGGAGCTCGGATTGCACAGGTGGTACCATTTGGTTAGTTTTGTTGTTGTTGTTTTTGGCGCAGGCTGATTGAAACCTGTCGAAAACAGAAGTGCTCGATGTCGGTGATGTCTTTCCTGCTTGGGATAACCTCCATTGTCTTTTGGCGAGAAGGATTTGGAAGTGTGGAAGGAGGAGACAGTGTGCAGAAAGGGAAAAAAAAGCGAAAACTAGCGCGACCTTCAAGTACCTCTAAAAAAAAGAGAGTGGCTTGGAAGAATACCCGTCATGTGCATTGAGAGAGTGATAAGTCAAAGCTCCAAGCAAAAGCTCCTCAGCTTCTTCGTTCTGCGACGATCGGTTTTGACTTGGAACTCTTGATGACCCGTATACTATCCATCGAACATTTCAAACCAAAAGGATAGCAATGATATAATATGGCACCAAAGCAAAAACAGATTCAACGACCAAAGCAAACCACTCATGTCATCCTCCAACAAAGAGACCGCTTCACTTTCTTTTTAATCCCGTTCTTTGGATATGAAAAAAAAATCTAATTGGAGAGACAGACAAAGATCCAAGAGGCAACTCGCTTTCGCCAGCTCTCCTCATCACTCTAGTAGGATGAAGCACTGTCCATAAAATACACTCTCGAATAACGCGCGGACAAACGGCTTGAAACACAAACATTGAACATATATAGTATACCTTCGATAGGGGCAGTATCAAAGAGCACAACCAAAAGTCCAGCGACTTCCTGTTCCAGCATCAATGAAATTGATCTGCAACTCTGGAAAGCAGGCTTTCCGGATGTTGTTGGCAATGAGAGTGAGAATATTTTGTTAGGACTGTCTCCATTCAGGGAAAAAGAACACATTTATTTGCGCCGCATTTGTGAGCCGGAAAGAACAGCTAGTTGGATGGACGCTACCCGAGTGGCGACTTTTAATGTCATTTACAAACAGACCATCATGCACGACATCCGGTCGCAGCTGCTGGAAGTACACTTTCAATTGCGCTCGCTGAATATCAGGCTTATCTCCTGGCACCAAGCCCTTTCCCAGTCCATACATCAGGTTCAGCATCGGCCAACTCTTGGCCATCCATTCAAGCTCTGCTCTTCCGATCTGACAGTTGATCCGCTCGAATCCAATCACTTCCATGTTCTTGAATGCCCCCAAACGGTCCTGCCCGGACACTGGCGACAGCTCAAGCGTGTCAAAGGTCGGCTCCTTATATTAATACATGTCGCTCTTGGACCTCCATGGATTCCGGCTCTCGTACTCCAGATCCAGAAGCTCAAGCTTGGACAAATTCGCCAGGTGATCGCACGCGCAATAGAGCTGTGTGCCCGACATCTCTACATCTTTTTGATCGCCGCGGCCTCTTCTGCCATGGATCAGCCGTGTATTCAGGAACCATGACTCGATCCACCAGAGACTGCTCTGCCCAGTCCAATCGATCCACGCCTATGATCCGGCAGCTCGGCCATTCTACTCCCATGCACGCCCACGGCTTCCGCAACATCTCGTCCACGCTGACGTTATGCTCGCTGCTGTCAAATACGCACAAGCGGCTTCTCAGAACCGAGGGCTCGTTGGCCGCGTCTTCAACCGTCCACCCTTCGATCCCCTCGGTGAGGCACCATGGCCTGTGCTTAGTCTTGAATGCACCGAACATTAACACGTGCTTGATCAAAACCGAGTCCAATGTGTCAGCTGTTCGGGGGCGTTAGCAGACTTGCCGACCATGTAGCTTGTGGTGGTCTTGATTGTTCTGAACATAGGCTTAGAGATCTTTCGAGTCCTACATATCCTCCGTTTTGTTGTTATTATTATTATTATTATTATTATTATTGTTATTATTATTATTGTTATTATTATTAACAGTGGTTCATGAGTTTCATTCGGCGGGGAAAAAAAAGGACGGACACGGTTCTGAAATCGGGTCTTATTTCCAAACGATGCATTTTATGCTTGGAAATAATGGTTCTTTACTTCCCTATTCTCAAAACTGTAAATTTCAGACACCGAACCAATCAAATCAAATGTCAACTTGGCCGAGTGGTTAAGGCGTATGCCTGCTATTTCAGCAGAAGAAAGTGTATTCCATCTGGAGCGCAGGTTCGAACCCTGCAGTTGACGCGATCTTTTTTGTTCCTTTAGGATCATAATTTTTTTTGGATTCGATTCATGCACACGATGAATCTCGTTGCAGTGGCTAGCCCTTACCTTTTTTTTTTTGGACTAATCTATTCACCAACCTGCGAAGAAGTCTTATTTACCAACCCAGTTGCTAAATAGCGAGAAGTTGCGCGAAGCAAGACTCATTTATGTACGGTAGCAATATGAAGAATTGCCATCGGCCAAAAAAATCGTTTTGTGTTTTGATGTAAAGTTTGAAGCGGCTGTCAACCTGCGTGGGATGGAAATAGTGCCGACAAAAAATTCCAACAGAGGACAAAGCGTTTCGTCTATGCGCAAGACCCAAGCGATATATCGCTGCACGTCCAAGTTACGTTCACAATACGCACGTGACATTTAGTCCCAAAATGCCCTGTCTTTTTTTTTAAAAAAGGCTCCACCGTGAGATTCTCCTTTTTCATCTCCCACGTCCCGAGCAAAACGACGGTCCCCTGGTGGAACTAATTGCGAGTAAGCCCTCTTTTGTCCAGGTTGGGAGTCTGTGGTCCTGTTTACATTTGCAATGGGAGGGAACAGGAGGCCATCCTTTTTGCCACCATCCATTTCACACCTGCATTTCAAGTGACAGAAGCCATGAGTTACCCTTGGAGGATGAGGACACTCAATTGCCGCCCTGGTGGCTACATGCGAGTGATACTCTGGACTAAGTGGGGGTCTATGGCACTATGTACTCTTGGATCATGAAGTGGAGGGTAGCGGACCTTTGTACATTTCACACCATTGTGCTCCAAAATAAAACGAACACTGAAATGCATTGTCTGTTCAACAATGCTACCAGTGCCAGTTTGGTAATGCAATGGTTGTGGGGTGAGCAGCGTGGGTCTGATCAGACTGAAAGGGCAAATTAGCACTATGAGGTGGTCGTTGGCCAGCTCAAGGGTGACGATGGACGGTGTCGTCTTCCGCTTGAGCGCGTCCTCCTCTGGCTTTTCCTTTTTTGGTGTGCCCCCACGCCACCAAGAGATATTTCTCTTTGCCTCTTTCCATCACAACCCATTCAATTGACAAAAGCCGCGAACGGCCCTTGGGAATCTCAAGAGTGAAGGATATTTCATGCGATTGGCACTTCCACTCTTTGCCAAGCGGCGGTCAATGGTTCTGAATTGGAATGGGTGGGAGGGAAGGCGACCTTTGCTTTCACAATTCATATCATTCCCAAAAAAGCATACATACTGAATGGACCGTCGATCGTCAGCCCCTCGGGGCAGTTCAACAACGCAACCAGGGTGAACTTTTTGGGTTCTTTGGTGTGGAGTTGAGTAAAGTAGGGGTCTGAATCGCTTCAATGGAGGTTCGGGCCTGAGTAATGAGGTCGTGGCCAGTTCGTTGGGAATCGATTGAGACGTGTCGATTCTGCTTGAGCGCGACTTTCTGTACCGATGTTGGGTTCTGTGGCAAACTCTCAAAGTCTTGGCTTTTTTCGACGCCACTGACTTATCCATATAAGCGCTTCTGCATTAATGCGTTTACCAGACATGGGGTCGTGGGTTCGAAGGTCCGCCCATAGCTGCAGAATTTCGAAGGGAAAGAAATTCCTTTCAGCCATGGAACTGGCGGACAGTATGGCATTGAAGGCAATACATATGGGATCGAGGGCTCAAATGAATATGGGATCGTGGCTTACTTTTTTTATTTCAACAAAACTCCTGGGAGATGGTGGAGGCCGCACGGTCCCAAGGGATACAACGTTAGTCGACATACCCGCTATCTTGATGGGAGTTGTGGCCTAGCACACACTTCTTTGGCTGTGAAAGCAGAGTCGGCAGAGCGTGCCAGTCCTCTCGAATTGTCAGGGTACCACCACTGTCTCTGCTTTCACCGCAAACACTATTGGGAGAAGACGATTTGGGACGTTCCCGCTCGTTTCTCCTGTTAATCCAAGCAGAACTGGTGTGTCCAGTTCCTGTGGAGACCAACACCAAGCCAAACGTAAAGAGTGGATGAGAGTGTTGGGCTTAAAATATGGTGAGAGGGGATTTTTGCATGGAAAAGCAAGAAACCTCATCAAGATATGAATGCCATTGAACCTCAATTTTATTATATTTTGTGATCACGACTAAAGTGATGCAGTTGAATGAGACCCTGATTACTAATGGGAAATGCGGTTTCGAACCACTCCGCATCTCTTCACGTAGTTTGTTTTTTGTGGATGTGATTTCGGTGATGCCGATGGGAATCTGAGCGAGGATGAGATTTGGGCTCGCTCAATTTTTTCTGGTCGTTTACCCAAAGCTAGATTGCCACCAAAATTGTAACCGCATTTTTCTCGATTAATGTATTACAAATGAATCTGACCCGGGTTTCTAATGCATAATCACTTTTTGGCCCATTGTTTATTGTTCTATGTGATTTGTTTTTGTGCGTGCGATATGAGCTATGCCAATCGTCTGTCATTGAGGATGAGTTTTTTTTTTCTTCTGTCTTCACCCTTCCAAATTCGCCATCTACATAGGTCCCTTGCGGGCTGGCAACCTGGGCTGTCAAGGTTGCTGCCAATCTATTCAACAACCTGGGTTGTCAAACAGGCCTATTTTTTTTAGCAAAATGTGACCATGTGTTGTCGATAAAAACGGTTGGTGAATAGATTGATACGAGCCTCTTGACCATTACATTGTAGAAATACTCTGAGGTAAGTGACAACCTCCCTATTTGGAGTCGATTGGCATGCAAGTTGTCGGGTTTGCGGATATCTAGACCGCAACCATTGGTCCACGTCAACAGATCGGCTTGGAGTGAATTGGAGTAGGCATAACTCTTTCCCGTGTTTGGTGTAGAGGCAAAAAGGACTCCATAAAAATAGAACTAGCCCACGGCAGTGATGCTTGAACAAATATTTTCATGTTATCCCTGGAGAATTCAGCAACGAAATAAACATAGGATAGGAGAGTATCATGGAGAGTTGGGCGTAGATTGACGTTGTGAAAGACGACAGTAATGGGATCTTTTTGCCACCATTTCGTCGACATTGTACTACGTGGGCGGATGAAATTACGATGAAGCCAAAAGCCGATCTACCTGATAGTCTCTAGTTGATGGCTTATACAACTCATTGTGCACTGGCAAAAACCGCTGTTGAAATAGAGAGTAACAAGGAAGAGGGCAATGGGAAGATGCAAAAGTTATTCAGTGTGTCAGAAGCACGATCTGAACCCCAAACCTTATATCAATCAACCTACCTGTCGTCAATTCAACTCGGTAAAGTTAATTTGATGGCGCTTGGTTGCATGTCAATGTTAAAATGGACTCAGAAAAAGAAAAAGAGCTAACCTACAAAACTAAGCGTACTCAGATGCACCTGAGGCAATGCTTCGCAATATGGAACAGGTGCTCAACAAAGTGTGAATCAATGGCACACTCTCCTCCGATCACACTGACCTTCGTTCGCAACGCATGTAACATATAACGCGGGGGCAATTAGTACCAAAAATGGGCGTAACAGAACTCCAAGCCAGTGGCAGTGTCAATGCGTCTTGCCACAATTCGACAAATCGGTTTGCATACCTCCGCTCGACAGCAAGTACTCCTCTCTTGACTGAGTCGAGAATTTTGGTAGAGCAAATGATACTTTACTGCTTTTTGCCTTTCGTGCATGACAACACAGACACTCCTGTTTATTTACAAAGCTCCAACAAGTCCACATACGTGGTCAAAGAGAATCCCTAAATAGCCATTTCTTGTCTGCCGATTATTGTGCTGGCGTCACGTTAATATCTCTTGTTTTCTTTTCGGCGGCAATGGCTGCGGCGAGGAGCGCGTCCATTCTCTCTCCATGTCCATGTCCATGACCATTTGATCTTTTCTGTATTCCCAGTTTTCCCCCTCCCCTTCGAACGCTGTTCGCGCAGCCCAATAAAGTGGCCACTCCTCTTCACGCTATTCTTGCTGACCTTTTGACCCACCCCCTAATTTGTTATTGTATTCTCGGCAGATCATTATATGGATATTTGTTCAACACAGTCGCTTCAAGCGTAAAGTGTTGTCCCCATGCACGAAGCAGTAGAGTAAAAGAAAGAAAAAAACTTCAATACCTTTTGCCACCGTTCACTTTGACGACATCGCGAACAGAGATGTATATAAAGACCGTCTTCGTCATCGTCTTCTTCTTTTTCATCACCAACAGCTCAACTACCAACTTCCAAGCCAAGAAATACCAACAAACAACCATGCAAATCAAATCCATCGTCACCTTTGCTGCCCTGGCTCTCGCCACTTTGGCCTCTACGTCTCTGGCCGCCCCAGCCCCGACCGACCAGACCAAGCCCCTCTCGGACAACAACAGCGACGGTATCCTGAAGCAGGAGGACCCATCTCTGGACGCTGCTGCCGATGCGCCTCACAAGTGGTGGACCTGGAACCCCATCTCCGTTGGTGACTGCCACCAGGAGGGCGGGTGGCTCAAGATCTACCCAGACGGCCGACTCCAGTGGGACGCTACCACCTGGACCGACCGCACCTGGTCGGGCGACATCTGGCACTCGACCTTCCAGCTCAAGGACGGTTCGGGTAACATCCTCTTTTCAGCGGGACCTTACGACAGCCCCACCATGTGGCCCTCGAAGCACTACCCGTGGCATGTCGATTCGCGTTACGAAGGTGGTGTGTATGACCGCGCCGTGGGGGTGACACAGTGGTCGCGTTGCTAAACGGAGTGTCTGGTATTCAAGCAGAAGAAGTAGCGATGTAAGGGGATGGCGATGGTCCTATGACCTTGTTACCCTCTATGGAGTACATTTTTTTGTTCATGACCAGTATCGTATTATCAGCAGAAGCATGATAGTACTATCTTACGCGAGTTCATTAAAAATAAAACAAAATTGTAGGCGATTTAGCGTGTCTTGGTTCTTCTTTCTTTAGCACGCCCTTTGCACTGTCAATCCATCCCTCGCGGTCGCCATGTTCTTTCTACTTTCGAGCTATAAGATGGACGTCATCTTCTCCAT